TGTTTTTTTAGGCCAAAATTGGCCGAATTGATTTTCACAGAATGTACTATAGAGAATAGGTACTTTATTCATGCAAAGAGTACGATGGTAAGGTTTTCGTTGACATCATTAGATTATTGCTTTGTAATGATAAGTTCAACCTTACGCAGCCTAGCGCTGAGGCATTAGCAGACATTTTTATAAGGAATTTTGGGCAAACAAACAAACTATCAATCTTATGCGAAAAAGTATACATTCTTATAAAAAATGAAGTTCTTTATCTCCATCTAACCTTTAATTTGTCTTACTCAGTACCTGATAGTTATTTTAGTATTTCGTCAAGTAGATTAACTTGTTACATATATCTTATAATCAACAGAAGACTCGCGTACTGTAGTTCGAATATTGTCGCGAGTTCAATACTTCCGTCGTTTAGGTAGTCGTAGATTTTGAAAACTGTTTCAGTGGCGGCAGAACTACAGACATAATAATAAAAATCTACGAAACATAGTGTTACAACGTTCAAGAGATTCCTGCTTGATTTCAGACATTGTTTGGAGGGGTTGAATATTGTAGGTTGCGTTTGGTATCAGTGAAAGACCTTCTATTATTAAAAAGCTGCTACTCCCGGTAATATTATGCACCTGTTAAACATGATAGATACACAGAAATATGATAGATTTGTTTTATATTGTTTGGTATGTAGATGTTGAAGATTCATCAAACCTAAGCGAACCTACCTACAGTATATTCAGATAAGAGATAGACCGGATGTAAACAAAAGGTTCGGGTGATTTTCACGCTAACGCCGCCGTCTCGACGGCCCTCATTGGTCAATTCGCAATTAAATGCCTATGCCGAGCGGCAGAGCAGTCGTATCAAGGCAGAGTCACATTCAGGTTCAGACGTGTTACGTATGTCGTGTGCATCATTGCAATTTGATATTTCTTTGGACGTTTTCGTTTGTTATCTTATTAAGTTGTTGGGTTTGTCGTTGTTATTGTTATACCTTGTTATTGATTGTTATTGTTATCAACTGCTTGCGCAAAATGCCCAGTAGTACAGATACTGCCGATGAAGTTGTAAACTCCTGTAGTCCACCTAGGAAACGCTCTAAAAAAAGACACCTGAGTGCAGAAGTGAAAGAGGTCATTTTGAATATATATAAGATCGAGCGCGAGGAGAACGAGGCATCAACCATCAAAGAAATTGTTGTGAAGGTTTCTCACAAAGTTGGGGTGTGTCGCGCATCAGTGTTTAATGTGTTAAGACAATACAAAAAAAATCACACCTTTTCTGAGCCAATGACCAGTAAACATCGCAAAAGTATTGTTAAATCATTGGATGAAGCTGATAAGCATGCGATTAGGAGGAAAGTGCATGAATTCTTCTTTAGGAATGTAATACCTACTATAGATAAAGTACTGCAGGAGGTAAATGGAGATACAACGTTGCCAAATTTCAAACGATCAACTTTCCATGCGTTACTGAAGCATTTAAATTTCAAATGGAAAAAACGGGGTCGTAATAGTTTACTACTGGATAGAGAAGAGATTGTGCTATGCAGGAGGAATCAAAACAGGAAGATTTATTACCTTGATGAAACGTGGGTAAACGCAGGACACACTACAAGTAAAGTATGGGTTGATGATTCTGTAACTTCATCCAGGAGGGCCTTTCTAGATGGACTGTCCACCGGATTAAAAAATCCAGCAGGTAAATACGAGTAATAGACAACAATCGGATGTTTTTCAAACCTTGGGAACAAGGTTCTAAACATTAATTCCAGGGGGCAGATAAAACATATTACAAGTAACAAAACTTTTATAACTTTCGATAAAATGCGTGGATGTTTTATTGTCATTTTCATTTGTTGGAACTTTTTTAAGGCATGTTTTTATGTGTTTTCGATATTTCAATAATTTTTTAATATAATCTCAAAATATGTCGAATATTATAAACTTAAAAAAAGTTACAAGTTTTATATAGTGTACCGTTCCTAATATTTCTAATCATTTTAATTCATACTTTAAGCTTTATAAAGTTATAATTTGTTAATATTAATATTTGCGCGTATTTCAGGTTCCTGATCATTCATTTTTTAAAGGTTTATAACTTTAAATTAAATTGTGAAGCGCTGAGTAATCATACGACGTTCAATATTCTTTCTTTCAATATGACTAAATAATCCCAATTATAGCAATCTGATACTCATGTCTCAATGTTTTTTCGCTGAATGTGATGAAAACATTTGAAAAAGGTTCGCTTATTGAAATAAATCTACACCAGTTAGTACTTCGATTTCCAGGTAAAGGGAAAAGGCTCATTATCTGCCATATTGGCAGTGAGGATGGATTTGTTGTTGACGGTCTGTGGTGCTTTGAGTCTAAGAAAACTGGAGATTACCGCGAGGAAATGAATGGCGAATCGTTTGAACAGTGGTTTTCAAAAATTTTACCGAACTTAGAGGAAAACGCAGTAATTGTGTTGGATAATGCGCCTTATCATTCTCGAAGAATGGAGAAGGTCCCAACAACGGCTTCAAGGAAAGTTGATGTTCAAAATTGGCTCCGCTCGAAAAATATCAACTTTGAAGTAGCAATGCTGAAAGTACAATTATTAAGAATTGTCAAGGATCACAAGGCGGAATATCAAAAATACGCCATTGACGAAATGGCAGCAAGTCAAAATAAAACTGTGCTCCGTTTACCTCCATACCATTGCGAGCTCAATCCCATTGAGCTCATATGGGCAGAGGTTAAAAATTATATAGCTAAGCACAATACAACTTTTAAATTTTGTGACCTCAAAGGACTTTTCAAAGAAGCACTAGAATTAATAACAGCGCAAAAATGGGAAAACTGTATTAAGCACGTGAAAGACAAAGTTGAAAAGAGAATGTGGGAACTGGACAATATTTTAGAGGAACAAGTCGAGCTATTCATTATTGACGTTGGTGCTTCAGGCAGTAGCGATGATGAAAGCTCATCAAGCTCATCTTTCCAATAAAAGATGTCGTTCATCAAATTCGGTAAGTTATATGTAATTATAAAGCTACTGTATTTTTTAATTAATTATTGATATTTTTGAAGCCATTTTGGCAAAACCTATTCAAGAATCTACTTTCTGACAATGTTCAACCATGCACATTTTTTTACGTTTTGAACGTTTTAATTTGGTTACATATTTACCTAGAAATCAAAAAATATACTAAAAGCAATTTTAAGAGATATACGATTATTTTTAATTTAGGCTAATTTAAACGCCATTCTGAGATTATATTCGACTGTATTTCACCAAACATCAGGCGGCATCCGAAGCTGGAAATCGAAGCGAAAATTTTGAAACCCTTATGTATATTTACATCATTATATATTTCTTACCCCACCCCCACATCATCCTATATCCATCACCAATCGTATACACATCGAATTGTGCTAATTTACTACAAAGTTACGCAAAGCAGCATCTACTATCTAAAATATGTACTGCGTGACTCTTAATTCGTCCCTGCCGAATGTTACAGCGTTCGATGATCACGTGGTCTTGTTTATGTCCGGTCTATCTCTTATCTGAATATACTGTAGTCACTATTTCTTTGAAATCTCCTACGTAGTACTTAGTATCTTGATGGCTCTCGAAACAAAAATTATAGTTTTTATACGTTTAAAGATCTAGTCATAATAAGTGTAGGGCACCTTCAGGAATGTTCAGAATTTTTAGGGGACATTATTGAAAAATGGATTAATGTCAAAATCGATTTGAATTAACAGTAATCACCACTCTTCACATTTTTAGATGGTAAAGATCGAATTACCAGTCTTCTTTTATTTCCCGAAAGAGTGAAATTCCCATGTGCATCACTGAATTTCCTGATTGTATGATTAGTCTAATTTGGAGGTCAACTGCAGGTCCAAAGAAACAACAGCTGAATTTACAAGTCATATGAGTTAAACAATAATTTGGGTTTACATAATACATTATATTTGGAAATATAATCTGCTAAAAAACATTATATTCCAGTGATCGATTCTTAGCTTCTACATTTGCTTTGTAAATCTGGTGACATGGACTGTGTTTTCATTTATATTTTTTCTTGATGTGTATTGTAAATTGTTTTTATAACGTCTTTAATAATAGTTAAATAATTGCCCATAATTACAAAACGATGGTTAACGTATGTGTTGACTTGTGTTATGTAATTGACATCAATAATTTTTCTGAACATGACTAACGTACTTTAGCTATTCGCAGGAATTTCCTTACTTTATGTAGCTAATATCGTGAACATATTTGTAGATAGGGTATACCATAATCATATCGGATCCGAATTCCGTATGTGACGGCATTAAGGACGTTCATCGTTTTCAGGCCCTGGCCGATTTTTTTGTCTAAGTTCTTGCTTTTTTTTCTATGTTTACGTACCCCAAAAATATTTATTTATTCTACATTACAGTAAGTTGGAGTATGTCTATGACTGTCCCTTTTCCGACCGTAATATTTATTTTGGTCAGACTCCATTGCCTGGCCGAATTAAACCAGGACGATGGGCGAGGGTGATGTGTCGGGTACATTAGAAAACAAATAACCTCATGCTCGGTTTTCGCTTTGGGGGGTTGAATGTGTCTTGGAAACGGTAATGCCTATCACAGCCGATCCTGGGCAATCCTGGTTTTACGCGGTGTCATCTTAAAGTTCTGATGATCTCGGCATATAGTGTTGTTAAAACAGACCCATCTGATTTCAGCCTCTCATCCTAATCGTGTCCGAATTTCGTACATCCAGAAATGGCCGATAAGATCGCTCCTTTGACCCAATGGTATCGACAATCTACATGAGGAGGCTTTTCCGAACTCTACTAACCCTGGACGGTTCAGAAATTATTATTAACAGAGTTTTTTTAAGCTCCTCATAACAGCCGCGGTGCTCTAGAACTTCTGCCTGCTTCTGCTTCGGTGTAAAAAAATGTAGGGGAGACCGGGGCTGGTTGTCACATGGGTTGGTTGTCACAATTGTTAAATCTCAGCAGCTCCGCAAGATGTAGTTGTCTGGCGCGCTACACATCGTTTCTGCGTCCGCGCAGAACACTTGTATTCAGTACGAAAGTTGTCGCTGGTAGATTAAGGTCGCACACACAAACATAAACAAATCGCCTAACCTGAGTAAATTTTTCGTTTGCCACATAATTTGTGTTTTCAAGACTACAGTTGATAATAAAAAGGACTGTTGAATTTATTTTCCTCTTCAATAATCCGAGACGTAAGTATTGACTTTGAATTTGTTAATTTAGTGACGCTATCTAACCTTAAAAATTAATTATCAAGTGGGGCAGGTTGTCTCAAATCAGCGGTGGCCTCTTGTCACATGGGACAACCAGCCCCCACACTAGACGATTAGCTTTGCACATCATTCTACGTAGGTATATGCATATAATGTTTTTTTTTAATATTTTCAGGTTACATAAGCATGTTTCGAAATTTCAAGAGGAAGACTGAGAAGGGCAAAGCGCCGCCTGACGTACTTTTAAGAGCTGCTAGATTAGTGAGATTAGGATCTTCAATAAGAAAAGCGGCAGCTGACTTCAATGTAAATTACCGTACTTTAACAAGATACTGTAAGAAACTTCCAGAGTCTGAATTACTTGATGATCGAGTTGTTGCGCCATCAATTTCAGTTGGCTACATCAAAAATCATTTAGTATTTGAGCCTGAACTTGAAAATCATCTAGTGGAATATGTACTCACAGCACCTGATATTTATTTTGGATTATCACCCAAGGAAGTACGTGGACTGGCATATGAATTTGCTAATGCTAATTCCTTGAAAATGCCGGAAAATTGGAAGCTCCATAAAATAGCTGGTCCTGACTGGTTTAGTGCGTTTCTAAAACGTCATCCTGTACTGTCTATTCGCAAACCGGAAGCAACTAGTTTAGCAAGAGCCAGTAGTTTCAATAAAACGAACGTCAACGCATTTTTTGATAATTTAGCTTCAGTTATGGAAAAACATAAACTTGAGCCTCACGAGATCTGGAACATGGACGAAACTGGGATTACAACTGTCCAACGACCAGACGGCGTTATTGTCAGAAGAGGATACAAACAGGTTGGTTCGATAGTTTCATCAGAAAGAGGAACTCTTGTTACTTTAGCAAGTGCAGTATCAGCTATTGGAAATTCCATACCTCCTTTTTTCATTTTTCCACGGGTACATTTCAAACCACATTTCTTAAATTCGGCTCCTCCTGGCTCACAAGGTTCTGCAAACCCATCAGGTTAGATGAAAGGGTCACATTTCTTGGAGTTTCTTGGTTTTTTCACCTTCATGTATTTGGTGTTTAATAAGCATTTTTTGTAATAATACATATGTGTAAAAATATGATATTTGTTTCTGTATTTTGAAACATTTTAATTTAATATTGCGGATTATTTTACAGCCTTATCAATTTTACATAGTGTTCCCAAAGGATAAACCATATTAGTTATGCACCAAATATGTACATATAACGCTTCAGATCGAATAAAAATACTGAAAATTGTGACAATTAGCCCCGGTCTCCCCTACTGAGAAAAGGGCCACCGTGGCCAAAACACTGACATACAATAGGATCCTGTGAACATACCCCAATGTAGAAACAAAAACAGAAACCCCCTGCAAAAAACTTTTTTTCAAAGATATAAAACTCAACAGTCATCGTATCATGTATCACTAGTTATCGACACGAAAAAGTTACCAATTGCCACAGAAAAATGCGATTCCAAAAACGTGATAGCAAAATCGCTTGGTATGTAATTTCTTTTGTGCAGAATATGTGAAATTCAAATTCAGTTTTGTAAATGAGTAGCATCACGTTATACTTATTTTGCATTTTCTTTTATCTATGCATGTTGATGTACGCTTCTGCAGTCCTACTTATGTTTTCTGTGTGCGACCATTACTGATAACTAGTTTATAAATAGTCACAATGTAGTAATATCGAATTTATTATAATATGTAAACCCAAAAGAATATCATGCTTCAAGCTTTTGTTGACACTATTGTCATTGTACTCAATCGAATATCGTACGCTAATTGATTGACGATAGTGATACATTGCGCAAAAATGTTCCATGATATGCAATTTAACGTACGTATTACGGAAAAACTATTAACAAAAAATGCATCGACAACTGTCATTGAAGGTATACGTGCCCATCATCAATTTATTGCTAACAGTTAATGACCTGGGCATCGGGGACGATACAATAAAAAATGGCGACGAGTGGTTAACTCTGCACCTCCCATGCGACGCCGTTATCAGTTAATAAAAGATTGGACTAAACAGATGTTTGGAATTTTCAGGTCTTTCTCAAACCAATACGATTTTGAATGCTAGACAAAGGATGTTGGATTTGGTGATAACTGACATGACCTGCGAAACTTATCATGATGATTTGCCGTTAGTCAAGGAAGATTTGCATCATGCTTCTCTATTTGTAAATTGTGAAACTAAATTCAATGCCACTCCTAATTTTGACACGAATGTAGCAATCCAACGTACAACTTCAGGGAAAGCTAGTTTGATTGGCCTTGACAATGCCTTGACTTACATTGATTGGTCTTTTTTGGACAACGTGCAGGATGTCAATCGTATGTGTAACTTGTTCTATAAAAACTTCGTTTTTGACCTGTATAAGTGACATATAAATCCGAACACCCAGTTTAAATGGCTTTATTTTAAATAAAAGTTGGTGAATGTATTTATCTTACTGTAAATAACAAGTGAAAACATTTTCAGCCTTATCAGTTGGACATTCCGGTTTTTAAACTGCTTTTTTTTAATTCACTAACGCTCTAAAATGAATATTTCAGCCGCAGTAAAGAATCAGCGATGGCGGATTTTGGTTCTTCACATCCTTTACGATCGGTTACGATGCCTAGAGTACGGAGACCTGTACGATTTCGTCAACTTAGTGAGTTTGATAGGGGCCGTATAGTGGGACTTCGGAAAGCTGACTTTCTTTTCGGGCAATTGCAGTTAGAGTGCAAAGAAGTGTAGACACTGTGGTTAGGTGTTGTCAGGCATGGCTTCGAATAGGCCGTACGCAAAGAGCAAGGGGCACTGGACGCCGCCGTAGAACAACAGACCGTGAAGATCGCCGCCTAAGATTATTGGCCTTAAGGGACCATTTCTCCACTACCAGGTCCATTGCAAATGAATGGTTTGCAGAACACGGAAGAGCTATTTGCATGCGAAGTGTTTACCGACGAATGAGAAGTTTTAGCTTGTTTTCATACCGGCCACACTGGTCCTCCCTTTAACTCGAGAACACCGACGTAATCGCCTTGAGTGGTGCAGACAACGGTCACTCTGGGATTAGGAATGGAACAGTATTGCCTTTAGTGACGAGTCTCGATTTTGTTTAGGCATGCACGATGGTCGTGCCAGGGTTAGAAGGCGACGTGGTGAATGGATGAGTCTACAGTTTTTTGTTGAAAGACATGTTCATCACACTGTTGGAGTTTATGGTTTGGGGTGCTATAGTTATGGTTCCAGGTCACCTTTAATCTCATCAGAGGTAACATGAAGGCGCAGCGTTATATCCACGAAGTTCTAGAACCCCATCTTTTACCCTATCTTGACACCCTGGCCGATCCAACTTTCCAACAAGATAATGCCCGACCACATGTTGCAAGAGTCACAATAGACTTCTTTCAACATAATGATGTCACATTGTTACCATGGCCACCAAGATCTCCCGACTTATCCCCAATTGAGCACGTGTGGGATATGATGGGTAGGAGATTGCTCAATTTGCAACGTCCTCCTCAGACTCTAGAAGCACTTCGAGAGGAGTTGGTGGTTGCCTGGAATGAGATACCACAGGAGGACATTGACACCTAAGCAGATTGAAGGAGCGTTGAGATGAGTAAAAAATAAGGTGATAAAAACCTATAAGGTCCAACGATAAGGCAGTGAAAATTTGTTCAATTGTTATTTACAGTAAGATAAATACATTCACCAACTTTTATTAAAATAAAACCATTTAAACTGGGTGTTCGGATTTATATGTCACTTAGTATATATTAAGCGTAAGCATCGTTATCCAGGTTGGTATCGCTCGGATATTATTCGAAATTTAAAACTGAAACGTAGACTGCATCAACAATATAAACGTTCCAAAAGTCAGGAAATCTGTCAAAATTATTAGAACATGTTCCTCTAACTGTGAGACAGAATATGTGGTTCCTACATGATGAGGCTCCACCACATTTTAGACGAGATCATGAACATCTAATTAACGATTTTCCGAATAGATGGATAAAGCGCAATGGACCCATTTCCTGGCCAGCAGTGGCGTTACAGATTGGCGTTAGTAATTCCATACGTTTTGTTTACCAGCGAAAACGTAACGTGTAAGTAATTTTCCTTGGAGGATACATGCTATTTAAACCTCAATGAGAAAACTATCCCAACAAACATGCACCATGTACCTATTCCAGTCATCCTTTCAAATTCAATCAGAAATTTTAGAGCTAATTAGAAAACTAAGAAATAACTTACGTGGTAGGTTCATCCAAAAACATGACTAAAGGGTTGCTAATGAGTTCCAGGGCAATTGACAGCCTTTTTCTCTGTCCTCCTGAAAGGCCTGATGCCTTTGTTGGTTTTGATTTCATAAGTCCTAAAGTTTCTAGAATCTCGTCTATCTGAAAGATACAAGGACAGAATTTAACGATCTAGATAGAAATTATTGGTTTAGAGCTTGATATAACAAATAATTTTATTTCAGTGCTTGTAAAATGTTCTTTCTATTTTGTAACACATTCATTGGAAATACGATAAAAGGATTGAAGAAACAAATAGATGAAGACTTTGGGCATCGGGGAATAATTAGACATTAATTTTGCTGTTTCCGGTAATTTTTGATACTCAAGATTGACGCAATTTAATTTGCATTACCGTGCTATGCATTCAAGCATCTGAGAAATTTTTATCATCATATCATTAAGCGATTCAAGTGTATTATTAATAAAAATGATAATATCATATAAACAATCGCATTACGCTTGGGTGTCAGCATTTAAAAATGATCACTTATCACCAATCTGGTGTCATTGTAATTAAAAACTATTGCTTAACTAACATTTCTGTTAACCAGGTTGTTCTGGAAACCTATATTTTGATCTTGTTCCATGAGTCAATTATTTGAAGTATTCGTATATTAACTATTTTCCGAAAAACTACTTCAATTTAAAGATTTAGGAAAGCTGTGTGCTGAAATAATATTTTTTATAGTCACAAATCATATGAGAAGCTTTTCAGTATACAAGAAATGGTAGCTCCAGTCACTCTGTTGAGCTCGGTTTTTGAACTGTAAATTTCTAATGACATCTAGTTAATCTAGTTGATGCCTCTTGGCGTCAAAATATATCCGAAACTTGTAACCGGCAGTCGTAAAAATTGAAATCTGTTGGTTTATGTAAGACGTGTTTATGCAGTATTATACGAGCCCCTTCCCACTTCAGTTGGCCCAACTATTGAAATCTTAGTTTTTTTCTTATCAAACACAAATAATAAAAATGTAGCAGGGTGTTATAGGTCTAAAATATTAACAATGAATATTTTGATAATATATAGTAGAAAACACCAACTTTATCACTCCCTAAACAAATTTGCAGCATAAAAATAACACATGTTGCAATTACAGCATATCAACCTGTTTTCATTTCAATGCAAAATAAGTCTATAAAATAGGTGGCTGTGGAAAATAAAAGCCATGACAATTGTTTTTATTAATCACAGCTGTCAGAATACGTTTAACATAGTTTTGGGTAGTTAAGGCTTTCAAAATGGGTACAGGAAAGGTTATTAGTGAGAAAATTCGGTTACTGAAAATTAAATTTTTTAATTCTGGGAAATCAAACTCAGAAATTGCAACTTTGTTAGACTTACCGCGGTACAGTGTGAGAAATATTGTTAGAAGAGATAACGTAACTGGTTCAGTTAATATTAAGCCACGATATGTGAAAAAAGTAATATCTCAGCATTAAGAAGAATAATCGTGAAAAACAGGCGTGCCAATTATTTACAATTAAGTGCTCTGTGTAGTGACGCTGTTGGAAGGAGAATTTTGAGGCCCAAAACTCATAGAGAGGCCCACAAACTTTGATTTAGCACTTGCAAGGTAAGTTTTCTTATAAAAAAAAGTGAAGTAAACACCCTAAAGTTGCACAACTTGTTTATAGGCCAAATAAAAGCCACTATTAACTCCACTGCAAAAGAAAAATCGGCTTAGATGGGCTAAAGAACATAGACAATGGACACCTCAACAATGGTGTGGAATAAAAACGAGTTATTGGCAAAAAATGAAGCATTCCATGTTAACTGTCTGAAGCGAAAATTGTCAGCCATTTGTTACGTTTATCTATGTTTTGTTTTATCAATGTGCTCCAAATAGGTGATTCCTATGTTGGGATCTACAGGGTTATCCAAATTAAGTGTCCACCATTAGTAACTTTGTTATTAGTGAAAATACAAAGTTGTTTGAATTAGCAAACTAGTAGCATTTTAACGCTGGTAAAAATGAGAAATAAAAAAAAACAATTGAGAGTCGTTATTTTTTCAGTAAAATAACATTTTTTTTATATGGAAACCCCTGTATATTATATTTTTTTCTGTTAAAGCATCAAATTTTAAACAAAAAAGCTTACAATAACTTTTCTCCTAGGTTACAAATTGTTGAAGTTATGGCCTCCAATCTGAAACAATTAAATTGTATCGACAAACTTTATTTTCAACATCAACTTATAATCTTACAAAATACAATAACAATTTTTTTTTAAAGAAGATGCTCGAAAACACCACCTTGTTCTTCAATACATTTTTGGGCACGTTTTTCAACTGCTCGAACTGTCTTAAGTATGGTCCTACCATCTATCTGGGTTATCTTTTCCCTAACTGCGGTCTTTAACGCGTCAAGGTTATCGTACCTTCGCTTGTAAATTTGGTTCTTTAAGTAACCCCACAAGAAGTAATCAAGTGGGTTTAGATCTGGTGATCTGGGAGGCCACTGTATTGGGCCATTTGTTCCTATCCACTGATCATTAAAAGTAGTACTTAGAAAATGATAAGTACCTCTGGAGTTGTGGGCAGGTGCGCCATCTTGCTGTAAATGCAGATGATGTCTACTTATAAGATCCAATTCGTCTAAGAAATTAGTCAGAATTTCTGACATAAATTCCACATATCTTTCACCAGTTAGGGTTCCCTCATAAAAGAACGGGCCAACAATTTTTGAACCAATTATACCGCACCAAACGTTGAAACTGAAACGGACTTGTGGGCCTCTTGGATGTACTAACAAAAGATTTTCTTTTGATCAATAATGGTGGTTTTTTCTATTAAACATTCCAGAATTTGAAAAATTTGATTCATCTGTCCATAAAAGGTAACGAAAGTTATTTATTTTGGCGACAGAAGCTAAGATACCAATGGCAAAAAACAAGTCTTCTCTCTGGATCCCCTGCCAAAGCGTTTGAACTGGTCGGTACTTATACGGATAAATTTGTATTTTTTTAAAATCCTTTGAACAGTACCATAACTGAAATTAGAGTCCTTGAGAATATCTGCTATTGAATTCTCACGATAAGCTCAAAATATCCAATAACTGCAATTTCCGTGGCCTCGCTTATTATGAATTCTTTTTTTGCCCTTGTTTTAGCAAAAACATTTTCGTTGCCCCTAAATTTTCGATAAAAGTCTCAGAAAATATCGTTCATACGGTTGAATGCGAGCAGGATATAATTCACTTGCTCTCAAGGAGGATTTTCTGCACACTAATAGCATTCTAACATATCACACTTTTCTTCATGGGAGAACATTTTTCTTTAAATTAATGACACAATAAAGCTTATAAACAAGTATTTACACTAATGTTTGACATTATTTGATTTTATCATTGTTTTCCGTCATTGTTTTGAACAATTTTGGCTCTTAAACTGCCAATGCGAACAAGTTTTTTCAATCTTATATTAAATAACTGCTAATAAATATTTCGTTATTTGTTAATTTGACTTAACCAAAGTCATTCTGACTTTTTTGCCAAATTGTTTTAACGAAGAAACTTAAATAATATCAGGGGATGCATTTAAAAAGTTCTTCGTTCCCCATAGACTCCTATGTTTTTATTTTATCTTTTTAAGCTAAAATGTCAGCTATGGTCCCTTTATTTGTTTATTTATACGTTCTAATAGGTGGTCCTAGTTTGGATCTATAAATTAAACTTTTAAATTTATACGGATATGTTAATTCCATAGAGAATTATTTGTTCATAATTTATGATCTCTATATGTAAGTTGGCTAAATAAACGTTCAATTCATCACGATTCTTTATTTTACATATCTGCTGTACTAGCAATGCAAATGAATGCTTTTTGGTGAGGTGCTTTACAAACCGAGTGATACAACTTAACGAACCGGTACGACAGAATGTACCATGAGCTACGTTTTTTTTAAAAAAATCTATATTCTAAATTCTCAGTATTCACGTGAGTTCTTTTCTGTGCATTTTGATAGGAGCATGTAAAATAGACTTAAGTACTTTAAATCATCATTCAATTCATATATCATTAACGAGTTATTTCATAAAAATTTATCTATGTGAAATAATTTCCAGACGCAACTCAAAAATAAATAATCCTGAAGTATTTCGGAAGGATGTTTGGAACATTGCACTTCAGGTAGATGCTTTACTAATAGTAACTTTTACTCTTGTGTTTGCCGTGTAGGGAAGAAAGCAGCTTATAGAGAATCGAAAATATGACAAAGTAGCCTTACAATATTCCAAGGAAACAGCTTTTGGATTTTTGCCCCATGCTTAACAATTATCCTGCATAATGAAGCATCATCGCTGAAATAGTTTTCTGATTTGCTAACAACACTGTACTTTACACGTCTCGCATCTGATCAACCTTTGTACCGTAGAGATCCAAACTGATGACGCCATTCAAGTAGAGAATGAATCACGTTGTACAAGTACAAAAAGAATTTTGTATGAAGGACTTTGATACCATCAAAACTGGATATTATATAACGCAATATAATTGACAAAATAAATACCGTAGTAGGCGTAATAAAATATTCTAATGTTAATCAGAAATATCAATACGTAATATTCCACAATAATCTTGCCCGTTATCAATCAACTTGTCCATTTGTAAGCATTGCAGTCTAAAGAAATAAGTAACACTGTAACACATTGTACTCGTAATACAACTTGTTTTAATTCATATAAAATTTGGGATCTTTTTGAATAAGCCAAAATAGACAAAGAAGCCTATCCAGATGTCATGACACACGTCAATTTTGTTCAAAGGTTCGGTATTTGCGAATGCGGTTTTCTGGCAGTAGCCAGTTATCTTTGTTCAACCACTGTTTCTCGAAAAAGTGCCATAAGCAAAAATGAAAGAGTTTTATTTATTACATAGGTCCTCCTTACTTCTTTATGCTACTAAGGATGATTTTGAACAAAAGGCAAAACAAACTGTAGTAAATTCGCACTTCAACTGTTAAACAAAACGTAAACATTCCTCATCGCTCATCATACGTTCTTCGGTATGTTTGTCTATGGAAAATTTCATCTTGTAACAAAGATATGATTAAAGAAAGCACAAATAATCTGCTATCCTATTTTCAATTTAATAGATTA